ATTTATTTATTTATTTATTTATTTATTTATTTATTTAATTGAGTATTAAGCATGTTTGGCACAAAGCAGGAATCACTGCCATAACAATGCCATAATCTTTTTGTTTCAGGTTTGCATGACCTTCTGCAGCCAGATTTGACCTTAGCCAACGAGTGGTAAGATTTTTGGGTTTTTTTCGTTCATTCATGTTCTTGGAAAGATGAACACTTTGCAATGGATCCTTGCAATTGAGGCCTTGAGAAAATGTTTCTGCAGAAGCTAAAGAGCTACCTCTCGGCTCAGCTAAATCTTCTCCAATTAAAGGATATTAAACAAACCAGAGAAAGGATTTTGGCCCAAGGTTGTGGGGAAATACTGTGTCGCCAAGCAATTGACGCTGCCTTAAATCTGAGCTTGAGTTAGGTGCAAGTCTGGCTCATGTCCTTTCATTTGGGCTGTATAACCCTTTGGATTCTGATGTGAATTCCACCAAAATGTAAGTGGCACCTAGCATCTATTGCCACTGCTAAAAGCAAATATATCTTTTCCCTGGATTATGCTGCAAAGGGTGGTCACGGAACCCTAGAAAAGACACACCTAGTTTAATGAGTTACCAACAGCTGATATTGTACATGAGTGATTCTGTACCTTTTCAAGCATCATTTGCCTTTCAAATCCAAAGCACAGCACAAGTGTTCACAACCTTAGGTTATATATGTATATAACCTAAGAAGACTTACTCTATGGGAAAAAAATATTGTGGGGTAAGACACCCCTAAACCCCTTGGGGTGTGTGTTCTGTTAAGATACAGCCTGTTGTGCCTTAAAATGGATTCTACAGCACTGCCGTAAAATGGCTTCTACTGTGCCCTGCAGTGGAGTTGCCATGGTAACGGCTTCACAGTACTCCACAAGGGGGCTCCCTCTGGTAAGGGAGAAAATCAAGCATTAGAAATTACATTTGGTCCGGACATTTCCCCCCCTATAAATAAATACCTAGGCAATGCCAGGTTATCGGTTAGTTAGATATAAAAAGTGACTCAACCATTTTTTAAATTGTTATTTTTATACCAGAACCAATTTATTTTGCTTTAAAGTTAAGACAGTGGGGAATAAAAAAAAAGAAGTCAAGATGGTAGCTACAACCATGAGACTGAATCCTCAGGGTTTTGCATGTGTGCTGTGCATGGGCACCGTATATGAAGCATGTGCTTTGACCCTGTGTGCCCTGTGTGGCAGTCTTCTAACATTCTTATTGGGGTAAGAGTCATTCAAACAATTGCCCATATTGGAATATGGTAAGATGGGTGATGAACAATGGGCTACATAGGTTAGTTTCCCTAAGCCGTTTCCTGTTCACTTGTTTAATTTCTCTCTATAGTGAGATATATATAAGGGACATGGTGGCTCAGTGGCTAAGACGCTGAGCTTGTTGATCAGAAAGGTCAGCAGTTCGGCGGTTCAAATCCTTAGTGTCGCGTAACGAAGTGAGCTCCCGTTATTGTCCCAGCTTCTGCCAACCTAGCAGTTCAAAAGAATGTAAAAATGCAAGTAGAAAAATAGGAACGACCTTTGGTGGGAAGCTAACAGCATTCCATGCACCTTCGGCATTTACTCATGCCAGCCACATGACCATGGAGACGTCTGCGGACAGTGCTGGCTCTTCGGCTTTGAAACGGAGATGAGCACCACCCCCTAGAATCAGGAATGACCAGCACATATGCACGAGGGGAACCTTTACCTTATAGTGATAGTGAAAAGGTGGGATATTTTATGCTTAGTGATATGTGTGTCGGGGTAGAGCCCGAAAGGAGAATATGTGTCGATACTCTCTCTTTCTTTTTTATGTTCCTTTCCCCAGGATTTATTGTGTTACAGATATTGATCCAGCTCACAGAAAGCTCAGCCAGTTGGAGGCTGTAATCCGTTTTATTACAGCAGAAGAACCTGACCTTGAATGTGAGTATGGAAACATAGAGCTATTAAGCAGTGTTCTTCTCAACCACTTTGTTTAAACAGGGGTGTCAAACTCAAGGCTCATGGGCGGGATCCAGCCTGTGGAGTGCTTAGATCTGGCCCGCAGGGCCACCCTGTAAGTAGTAGAGGACTGGCCTGCCTCTGCCAGAGAAAACGGAGTTTACAAGGGCCACACATGAGGATCGCAGGAGGCCATCCCAACCGAAAACGGAGCTAATGACCTGAACTGTTTTTGCTAGCAGTGAGTTGCAGGAGGCTGTCTCAGCCAAAAACAGAGCTCAGGAACCTGTTTTCATTGACAGAGTGCTCTGGCCACAGGCGCCCCTGACACGAATGATGTCAAGCTAGCCACCCTGGCCATATACACACCTTGGCCTTCCCAAGGTCAAACACAACCTTGACGTGGCCCTCAATGAAATTGAGTTTGACACTCCTAAACTGTTAGGAACAGTCTTGTGAAGATACCAAATTGGTCCATCCAAGTATAATTCAACAGCGGCCATATTCCAGGATATTATCATAGGGCTCAATGGATTTATTTGCTTAAAAGCATTGATATAATCTCCTCCCCCATATTTTGAGGCACTTTGTTCCAGTATGGCACAGCCCAAATTACCAAGAATTTCTAAATCCTGTTTCCTGGATTCTTTCCTATCCTCCAAGACAGCAAAACACCAAATTTGCGCCAACGACTATGTGACATCTTTTCAAATAATTGGTGGTGACGATCATATCCCTTTTTAATTATTATTATTTTTCTACAGAGTGAACGTGTACAGTATATAATCAGCATGCTGCCTAATCATCTTTCATTATGGCTCTTCCTTGATTTTCAAATTACTTGCAAATTAGAATTAGCAACTTCAATTTAATTCAAGTTAAGCCTAGCAACATTTAGCTTTTATCATTCAATTCCTCATACAAATTGGTCCATCAGATCATAGTGTCTGTCCTTGCAACTAAAAACTGTGCTTTTGAATATCATTGCTGAACAGCTAGAAACTTAAGGTGTGGTATATCTCGCGTCTGAATATTAATATAACCAGGGGTGGGTTCCAGCAGGCACTACTGCCAATTTGCTCATGGGTAGGCTATGCGTGTATGCACAGTGCAATAAAAATTGTTCTGTGCATGTGTAGAAGTGAAAAACAAGGTGAGAAGAACTGGTTCGGGGGCGTGGCAGGCCTGGCAGACCGCCACACCACTACTGGTTCAGCCAAACTGGTCCGAACTGGTATGAACCCACCACTGAATGTAACCCTTTCTAAACTCATATTTCCCAGGGTCATTGTTTCTTTGATATCCTTGATTCAATTTGCCTACAAAACTACTTTTTCATGTTTTGCTCCAGTCAGCATATTTGGTCTCTGACCTAGAGAAGTATGTCAGGTGTCATCCCAAACCAGCAAAGTTATTTATTGGAATGAAGATTCAGGGAGAATTATACTAATACATTGTTTAAGTCTTCATCCATATTTCAGGATGAAAGTTCAACTCCTGATAATTCCATGGAGCAAATGAAGAAAGGAGGAAAAAAGAATGGATGGATGAATTTAAAACAGGCATCCAAATTGAAATTCTAGCAACAGACTCGTTATTATTGCAATTCAAGATTCTCTCTGACGACTTCAGTTTTAAACCTCAGGAATATACTTTGGATAGACAGGGATGTTCAGAGAGGTTCAGTTTTCAGCGCCTCCATACAAGACCATCCATTGTTGGGGTGACAATGGCCCCACTGTGGAAGGTAAAACAGGATGATCGAAAACCTCGCTTCTTTTTAACACATATTGTATGCAAAATGTTAGGTAAGCTCCCTGTTGGAAGAGTGAGTACGTTCAGCGAAGCGTTGTGAGAATTGTGTTGGAGAACACACAAACCAGCATACAGAGNTTGACCCATAAGGAAGTATACATACAAATGTACTCACTCACCTGGCCTCCCTTTCATGTGGGAGATAACAAAGCCTAACAAGGCTTTCATAAAAAAGGAAATGCTACTTCATCACTAGTATAGCTAAAGTAAAATCAACTTCTCTCTCTCTCTCTCCCTCTCTCCTTCCTTTCCTCCCTCCCTCCCTCTCCCCCCTTTCTCCCTGTTCTCTCAGCGTCTTCCTCCCTCCCTCCTTCCCTCCATTCCTACCATTAGTATCTTGATACAAGCAATAGGAATAATATAGGATGGTGAGTCAAATCACCAGCTTTATTCCTGTGGTACAAGGTGACATCCAACGTGCACAATAAAATCAGTGTGTTCCATTGCATCGGTTGTTTTGCATATTTTCTTTAACTGATGGAACATCTGTTGTTCTGATACTATTTTCATTCTAGATCTTATACAATTGCTTGTGGTAACATCTGTTATAGTGCAGATGCTAACAGAATCCTTCAGATAATAGATATTGCTATAATTGTTCTCATGTACAATAATCAGACCTTCTATCTAGACAAGTCTGTTTCACTTCTTATTCTATTTATTTAATTTCTATAGCTGCCGATCTCCACAAGAGATTCTGGCATCTTCTTTATCAATTTGTTGCATTGCTATCATATCCTCAGTTCAAATATACATTACTTCAGAACATAAAAAATAACCTTGTGCATCTCCATAATGCATGTTCATGGGTGAATGCATTGAAAGATGCAAATATAAGCACATATCCAACAACATGATCTGTAAACCCTGCAGTTATAGATATGAAGATTCATCTAATCTGCCAAATTCTTCCCGTTTATATGTCATTCCAATTCAAGAAATGTTTACAGTGCCATTATACAATGGAATCCATGGGGAATCTATAATAAGTAGCAAAATTGTAGGCATTTATAAATCAATGTTTGCCCAAATGAATTTCCTCCTTCCTTTAAGCAACTGTTCAGCTTGTTGGCATTAAGCTATTTACAATTGAAACCAGCTGAAAAAATAATCTTGTGTGTTTGATGTGGGCAATAGCCCCATCTGGCGGAGAAAGTTACATCTGGTTTTCGTATTTGGATGCCTTTGAATGCTATTATTTCTAATTTTCAAAACGTTGATGTAATTTTGAAGTTTTATAATTTGGGAATTTTTTAATGAGAATGCCCAGAGTTTAGAGTTTTCTAAAGCTAGGTTTTATTTGTTTAATTGGCTTGGTTGAGATTTTATTCATTAAACAAAATCTATCAGCAAAAATTGCAAAAAAAAAAAAAATGCAGTTATCTGAGGCCACATAGAACAATGCAGAAATGTGTGTGTTTCTGTAATTCTGTTCCTTACTTAATCTGCATCTGAAGTTCACCCACCTGCAACTTTGCTTTCCAAAAATGTGCTAGGGACAAAAATATTAAACTAGGAAAATGAATGGCAGCAAATGTGGCTTATTTATATATTTATGACCAAACACTTGGTCATGAGTAAATTCATAATCAAAAACAGTAATACTAGTGCTTTCTAACTTATTTCTGCATGACAGTCTTAAACACAGCAAATTGTCATAGTATATTGAAATATAAGAAGAATGGCATATATTTGGGGAAGAAGGTTATGCTTTGTTTTAATGGTTGTTTTATCTGGGCTGTCTTGTTTTATTTTTTTATTTTTTTATTTAGTATTATATTTTGTAAGCCATCCACAACCCACTGAAGGTGAATAGCAATAGCAGTTCGACTTATATACCACTTCATAGGGCTTTCAGCCCTCTCTAAGCGGTTTACAGAGTCAGCATATCGCCCCCACAGTCTGGNTTACAGCATGATTTAAAGAAACAGGTATAGCATTGTTACACGATTCATATATTGCCAACCCAACCATTAGAATTATATTCCTAACACATAACACATATGTAAAAAGAAGCTATGCTTCTGCAATCAGGTTATAGTTTGATGTCATTCATCCCCTTGTCTTGTCTTCCAAAACCCGGGGTGGGATTCAGCCGGTTCAGACCAGTTCGAGTAAACCGGATGTTTAATTTTAATCTGGCTCGCCGAACCGGTAGTTGCAAGGACTGGCTGACCCCACCCACCCCGCCCTGCCCCTCCAAGGAGTCTCCACACGGTCTGTTTTGGAAGCAAGGTAAGTGCAGGGCTTGTGTGGAGGCTCCAGGAGGACAAAAAAAATGGGCTTACCGGAAGTACAGTAAGTCTGAAAACTGGTCTTTTTCTGGTCTCCGAAGGGTGCCCAGGGGAAGCCGTTTTTGCCCTCCTGGTGCCTCAAGAAAAGCTTCTGGATCCTGGGGAGGGTGAAAACACCCTCAACACCGTGAGGCAGGAAGATGACTAGGACATGCCCCCATGGCCACGCCCACCCAAAAACCGGGCATAGAACTGGTTGTTAAAAATTTTCAATCCCACCCCTGCTCAAGATTCTAAATGTATAGTTAAATACATAAACCAAGCCCCCATCCTTATGTTCTCTATATGTGTTGGACTTCAACTCCAACGTTTGTGTAGTAATTGCCTTTCTTTCTTACCATTCTTTTTCATGTCTAGGTAACGAAGAGTTAGTTCAACAGGTTCTCTTCGATGCCGTAGTTACAGCACCGATGGAAGCTTATTGGACGACCTTGGCCCTCACCATGTCCAAGTAATTACACCACTTCTTGAGCTAAGAGATGTTTTGAAACTATCTACCTTTAGACTGCTGCAATGCATTCTACCTATACCTGTCCAGAGATAGTGTTCAAAAAGTTCATTTGATACAAAGTCAATGATCAACAGCAGCTTGGTTTTCACCTGTATTGTACAAATTATCACCTTGGGCCATAAGGATCTCCTCGCAGTCGTTTCATTGAAGGGCTTTGTCCTGGATCCCGCTGCCATTTGGGTACAGATCTGGCTTTATCCAGAATTGCTGAGACAAATTGGACTTGTGATCTTGCCTAGAAAGCAGGCTGACTATTGTAAAATACAACCTGTTCCCTAGCTTCAGATCTATGGCACAAAGGAAGTTCAACCAGACTTTCTACGATTTCTGTCTCTCACTTGCTTATACAACTCTCATTTTTGTTCTGCAACAGTGAAACTGAAGATGGTGTGCAGATGGCCTTCATGGGAACTCGGGCTGGTCTCATGAGGAGTACCCTTTATATAGGAACAGAAAAACTATCTAACAAGTGAGTCTTTTGTATTTTTGTATTTTTGAGATATCTTTCTGAAATACCATATTTTTGGAGTATAAGACGCATCTTTTTCCCTCAAAAAAGAGGGTGAAAATCTGGGTGCGTCTTATACACTGAATACAGCATTTTTGTCCTACCGAAACCTCACCCCCTTTCCAAAAATGGATGTGCAGAGGGTTTGAGAAGCTTGCAAAGTGCTCCAGAGGGCTGGGGAGGGTAAAAACGAGCAAAAAATTGACCATTTTTGCTGGTTTTGGCACCTCCAGCCCCCAGGTGCATTCTACAAGCCTCCCAAACCTTCTGCATGCTGTTTTTTTGCAAAGAATGGGCTGTTTTTTGCTCATTCCCCCCCCACAGCCCCCAGGAGCACTCTACAAGCCTCCCAAAGCTCTGCATATCCCTTTTTAAAAAAAAGAAACGAGGCGTGCAGAGGGTTTGGGAGGCCTGCAGAATGCAAAAATGTTTTTTAAAAATTTACCTCTTCAAAATCATGGTGTGTCTTATAGCAATAGCAATAGCAATAGCAGTTAGACTTATATACCGCTTCATAGGGCTTTCAGCCCTCTCTAAGCGGTTTACAGAGTCAGCATATCACCCCCACAGTCTGGGTCCTCATTTCACCCACCTCGGAAGGATGGAAGGCTGAGTCAACCTTGAGCCGGTGAGATTAGAACCGCTGAACTGCAGATAACAGTCAGCTGAAGTGGCCTGCAGTACTGCACCCTAACCACTGCGCCACCTCGGCTCTTATACTCCAGTGCATCTTATAGTCCGAAAAATATGGTAACTATGAAACACTACACCTCACATATAATCTCTCAGTTTTCTTTTTGCCATCCACATGTAACCAGCTCTTCCCCATTTGCTGGAGTTTGTGAACAGCTGGCATCTGGAGACATAGTCTTGGTTAGTTGTCAGGAGTTTATGTGAAGAGGACACTCACATATTTTTCCACAAAATTCTAACTTCTATAGACGAGTGGATGATCCATACTAAAATGACAAGACAATACACAAAGATTTATTTGTTAACTCTTAGTTTTATTGAGTATAATATAGGTCCATGATGGCGAACCTATGGCACATGTGCCACAGATGGCATGCAGAGCCCTCTCTGTGGGCACACGAGCCGTTGCCCCAGTTAAACTCCACTGCACATGCCCGTGCGCCCCTAGTCAGCCAGCTGATTTTTGAGTCTCTGCCACACATGCCAGAGGACGGGGCTCATATGGGAGATGTATGCACATGCATGAGGGTGGAAGGTTGCACTTGCATGCATGGGGTCGTGTGCACATGTTTGTGGGGCGGGGGAGCACAGGGGGATCATGCACACATGTGCAGGGGGCAGATGCACATGGGGTGGGGGTGGTCACATACACTTTTGGCACATGACAAAAAAAGGTTAGCTATCACTGATATAGGTGGTCATCATTTAGAACGGTGCATCATTTAGAAGGGATGAAGAAGCTCACCTCCCGTTCAGAAGGTTGAGAGTTCAATCCTAGACAGTGGCAGATCTTTCTCTGTCAGGATGCAAGAAGAAAATATCTGCTGCGAACTCCGCATAGGTGTTCAGGAAGAGCATCTGGTCAGTAAATGCTCAGCTGCACTCATTTGCCCTGATTCCACTCCAAATAAAGGGATTAAAGAGTCATAAAAAGAAGAAGAAAAAATAGGTAGTCCTCATGTAGCAATCACAATTGGATTTGTCATTAAATGAAGCAGTTGTCAAGTGAGAAATCCCATGACTACAACTATGCCTTCTCTTCTTCTCTCCCCCATCCTTTGGAATGCTCATCTGAGCACTGTGTAATTAACAAGAAGAGGATTGATTTTTGTATTTAAGATAGGAGGATTACAAGAGAGTTAGCAGGCATATAATGGGGAATACACCAGGCTGTCTGCATAGCACTTCCGCAGCTGCTGGCACAAGCAAATTGCTTTTCCTGTGCATTCTCCATTGCGTGCTTGCTTACTCTGCTGTAATCCCTTCCTCTCCAATCTCTCTGCTCTTCAAAGAGAGAAGAAAAATAGGAGACCATGCACCGAACAATGCATACTGATTGAGTGACGATCACATGATTGAGCAGCAGTAGTATCATAATTTCAAAAAAAATAGCTTAATGAGGCAGTCAGTAAGCAAGGACTACCTATACATTTTGCTAAATCACTTTCATATACATGTTTCTTTACTTTCATATTGCCACCAAATTCTTATCAAGCAAGCGATCAAATTGCTTAAGGAAGAGGGAATGAGCTGCAGGTTCAGATGTTGTATATATATTACTTCCTCCAACCAATCCTCCTCTTTATAGGGCTCCTTCTACCTGACTCAGCTATGTCACTGGTGGTTGTTGTGATTGCTGAATCAGGTTTACCTTAATATGCAATTTTTACTTAGTGGCCAGCTTCTGGTATAGATTGCTTCATTCTTTGCTTGCTTTAATGCTGTATTTGCTCTTTCCTCCCTCCCTTTCCTTCTATTCCCTCTGGCCCTTGCCAGATTACTGACTTTAACTGGAATAGTCCATAGTATTCATAACAATTTCCTTTTTTAAAATACTTTTTGGGGAAACTATGTATCCCATTCACGTGTCCCTTCACTCAATTAACCTCTGAAAAGATCTGAGAGACAAGCAGCAGTTCTGGGTATTCTAAACTTAAAGCTGAATTCAACAATGATAGGAGGATATTGAGGCAAATATTTCCTGGGCTGGAAATAGTATGGGCTGATAAGGTCATTGTCTTGATGAATGCCAGGATCAGATGCAGTGGTGGGTTTGTACCGGTTTGGACCAGTTTGGCCGAACCGATCATGGTTTGGCAGCCTGGAACTGGCAGTGACCCAGGCCTGCCATGCCCCCGAACCAGTTTTCCGGTGCTGTCATTTTGTTTTTAGCTTCTGCACATGCGCAGAATGATTTTTATTTTACTGTGCATCAACTGTGCACGCATGCATGTATGCGTTGCAGCCCTGAGCGAACCGGAAGTATTCACTGCCGGAACTCACCCCTGATCAGATGCACCATTTTGCAGTGACCTATGTAGGAATTGTACATACATACCCACATACATACATACCAGGGGTGGGTTCCTGCCAGTTCTAACCTCTTCTATAGAAGAGGTTCCACAAATCTACAGTGCCGTTTAGAACTGGTTCCAGCTCCCTCCCCCCCCCACTTGTCCGCACATCATCAAGATGAAGAGCAAGAGGAGGAATTCTGGGAGTTGAAGTCCACAAGTCTTAAAGCTGTCAAGTTTGAACACCCTTGTGGGTCTTTTTTCTNTCTCATCAGCATCCAGTTTCCTAGCGATTTCTTACTGCTGAAGCAGCATTTTTTCTAAGAATTTCTTATAAAGAAGAATAAGAATTTCTTATGAAGGTATCTTGTTCTTTTGTAAAGTTTCTTAAGAGAGAATAATCAGATGTTCCAGCAAACTCATTAGCCTTAATATATTCTATATTCCAATATGATCCACACAGACAAAGGCCTTGCTGAGGTCAATGAAGCAAACACAATTTTTCTAGGTTTTTTGTTTTGTTTCCTCTATTATCCATTTTAATATTAACTATCTGACTGAATCAGCAGTCTCCTAAAAAAACATCCCACAATAAGTCAAAATGACAACGCTTTCACTATGAATCATTGTACAAAGGCTGCCACTGTGTATTTGTCTCTTAATATCTGACACCAGTACATGTTGTGCCGTATGCATGATGATGTTATCATAAACTTTGCCATTTAACCCCCTTGTTGCCCTTACGAACATCCTGGAGTTTACATCCATCTACCGTCTCTGAAACTTACCCATTTTATGTAGCATTTTTCTTTCTGTGGATTGCTCTCGTCTTCTTTGTAAGATCTTAAATAAAACTTTGAGTGAGGAATTTGTACAACAGTTCTGTGAATACTATTGCAACTTTCTTCCACGACCCTGTTTGTCAAGTATCACAGTATAATCTTTTCAACTTCTTTTAACATCACTAACAACTGTCAAAATTGTTCTCTGGTACCTATGCTTACCAAAACTACCCATGTTTGACCTATTTATCTCATCTTCTTTAAAAGATCTTTCATTTTAAACTTTAACTTTAAAAAAAAATATTCTGCTTGATGATATTCTTGACTGAGATACCTGTCCTTGTGCTCTCTTATTTGATGTTGAAAAACAGCATTCAGATAATTGTACACCAATTCAGCAGGTTCTGACCAGTTCTGGAGAACTGGTAGCGGAAATTTTGAGTAGTTCAGAGAACCGGTAAATACGGCCTCTTGCTGGCCCCACCCCCATCTATTCTCTGCATCCTGAGTCCTAGCTGATTGGGAGGGAATGGGGATTTCACAGTTTCCTCCCCCTGCCATGCCCAACAAGCCATGCCCACAGAACCTGTAGTAAAAATATTTGAATCCCATCACTCTTGTACACCCATTTTATTTTTGTCATGTAACTTTTCCTGACTATCATGAAAGTGTATGTATGTATGTATGTATGTATGTATGTATGTATGTATGTATGTATGTATGTATGTATGTATGTATGTTTTCATAGATTATCATGGGTGTAG